ATAATGAATGTGATATGGGATGAATGAAGTGGTATATGGACAGATTGAATAATGAATGTGATATGGGATGAATGAAGTGGTATATGGACGGATGGAATAATGAATGTGATATGGGATTAATGAAGTGGTATATGGAAGGATGGGATAATGAATGTGATATGGGATGAATGAAGTGGTATATGGACGGATGGAATAATGAATGTGATATGGGATGAATGAAGTGATATATGGACAGATGGAATGATGAATATGATATGGGATGAATGAAGTGGTATATGGACGGATGGGATAATGAATGTGATATGGGATGAATGAAGTGGTATATGGACGGATGGAATAATGAATGTGATATGGGATGAATGAAGTGGTATATGGACGGATGGAATAACGAATGTGATATGGGGTGAATGAAGTGGTATATGGATGGGTAGAATAAAATGATGTGTAATGTATGTGTATTAACTGTTTGAATGTGATTGTTAAAACAAAATGGCCATGAATCAGCCATTTTGAATTTGCATCAATGATCCAAGGTGGTCATTGAACATACACATTTGAAAAAAACATATTATCATGGTTGAATTTGATGGCTATGTTGAATTAGATCATGAATTATCTGTGATGTGTGTGTGAAGTTTGAATGTCATCAGCCAAGGTGGGAATGTACTGACGGAGGTGAAATTATAAGTCCCATTGAGATGAGACGTACAATTCCTAGTAAAACTGTACCTGAAGTTTGTACATACCATATTGAAAGTTGGCTTGCAATAATTCAAATTTACTTCTGTGGGAAAAACAACATGCATGTCACTTCCAGTTCTTAAAGTTAGGACGTTTAGTGTAATTTGATTAAATAGTCACTGTTCTTAGTGTGAAACTGTATCTGATCCTGTCCTCAGCATCTGTTGATTTCAGGTCATCAACATAGGAAAGTATCAATAACTAACAATTAACAAAATATATCCTTGGATTTAAAAAAAACAGTGTTACATTACACTGGCTCTCTTCAAAGAACTCAAACAAAAACAAGTTCAGGGAGTGTGCTGAATTTATGAGCCTTTTATCTCAGTTTTTTTCCAGTTCACAAATAGACAGAGGGGAGAAAGATTTTTATTTTATTTTCGCTGATTAGGTAAAGTAAATATTGATTGGTTCAAAGATAAAGGTATGCAGTATGGTGGTTACATGTGATGAGAATCCTACAACTTATCAAAATAAAAAAAAAATACGATTAATTGGTGAATTAATATTATTTAATTAACAGTTCATCACAGGTTTTTTTGTGTCCTTCATTTTCTGTAGAATTTGTATTACATGATTCAACTTTTTTGAATAGACTGACAGACTGCCCAGGTTCCATGCTGAAGACTGCCAAGGTTCCATGCAGAAGACTGCCCAGGCTCTGTGCAGAAGACTGCCCAGGCTCTGTGCAGAAGACTGCCCAGGCTCTGTGCAGAAGACTGCCCAGGCCTCTGTGCAGAAGACTGCCCAGGCTCTGTGCAGAAGACTGCCTAGGCTCTGTGCAGAAGACTGCCCAGGCGCTGTGCAGAAAACTGCCCAGGCTCCATGCAGAAGACTGCCCAGGCTCTGTGCAGAAGACTGCCCAGGCTCTGTGCAGAAGATTGCCCAGGATCCATGCTGAAGACTGCCCAGGCTCCAGGCTCCAGGCTCCATGCTGAAGACTGCTCAGGCTCCATGCAGAGGACTCCTTTCATTGAAATGTAAAGTTACTTACAAGATTGTACCTGATTGGCTAACCAACCCTAACACCTAACAATCAGACCAATCAGAGAGCAGCTTATTGTTGACAGGTTTGTTCAATGAATCAAATTCAGCCTTGTATATGTGCTTCAACTCTACTAAAAGCTCATGCAAGATTTTCATCACACGTCAAAATAGATAGTTATGAAAGTTTCAGATTATAGCAATAAAGACAACAAATTTGCATAAATTGAACTGATTTAGTTATAGGGTCATATTCTGCATTTCAGCCTACTTTCCAAAAAATACTGCAAAATTTAATTTAAACATAATGAATCGGAGACAACCGTAAAATACTGTAGTAGTATTGACTTTTACCTGACTTCTTATTGACAGTGAAAGTTTGTTCATTCTAAAATTCTTGATACGTAAATATTTTGAGCAATGAAAAAACAACCATTATAATCACTCAACCATTTATAAATTATATAATTTTTTTTCTTACAATCTTAAAAATAAAATATTTTTATGATCCAATAATTGAAGGATAATGGGATGTAAATTTTGGTCAAAACAGACTTTTATTTCAAAATTACTGACAAATTTTACCTGAGGAAACGATACAAAATTTGCATATATACAGGATAGTCTTAACTTAACATTTAGCTTATCATGTTTTCAAAAATATATAATTTAAATAGTGCAGAGTAATTATGACATTCATATTAGTAATATTGATGAATAATTTGAAAATGGACTTTGATACATAGAAATCACATATGTTGTGGAAGAAAATCTCACTTGTGCCATGGAATAATAATTCCCATGTGTTTATAACTGATTACAATAAAAAAAGTTGCCATTGCCAAGTTTTTACATGTGCAAATCAAATTAGGATTTCAATAATACCAATTTTATCAAGCACATGAATAGAATTCCAATTTTTTATCAAGAATTGACAAGGGCCGCAAAATTTCAAATCAATCACTGATAAGTACAGTAAAGACAAATAATAGCACTGATCACAATTTACAGCAAAATCAGTGATACATCATTCCTTGGTGACTTAGGATTATAATTATACCAAGCCATTTATAAGGTAACGATCAACATTGACCTTAGTCGATCCAACCTGCCTAAGGCGGAAAACACCCTGTGGGATCGACTAATGACAGACAGCAACTGGATCCTCAGTCACTAATTTATAAAAAAACACTAAACTGCACTTTCTGTGTTTTCAAAAGTCAGAGCGATGAAAGAGAGCCTTGGGCAGTTAGGAACTATTTGATTGGTTGCTAAAAATGGCAGGGATATTAAAGTCGGTATTTTAGTTATCTCTTTGTTGCTTTCTGGAAATGAACATGAATGTTCCATGAATGGAAAGTCCAAGTTCAGGAAAGATAATGCAGCACAAATGCACCTGGATTATTAAGTGCCACTTCTGTCACCTCTGTCACCAAGTACAAAGCTCACGGTGGTGACAAAATACAAATTAATACTTGGTCGATGTTGCAGATATTTTAACCTGAATGAAAAAAAAGTAAAAACAATATACTACTTTACTACAATATAACTATAAATTTAGCTTTTAACATGAAAGTCACAAAAGAGGATAAATTCCCATTTTTTTTAAATACAACTGTTTGCTGTTCTGACAAATAAAAGATTTAAAATCCACCAAAAATGTGCGCCATCTATACGTCTTTCACACATACACTAGAAAGTGAATAGGAACTACGGCAATAAACTCACTAAGTACCACATTACTTTTCATGCAACAAAAAAGGATGATGGGATTGGCCTTGGAGTTCACACAATAAAAGACTTGACATAAAAACACACACTGTAGTGACCTGGAAAAACTTGTGCTCTCCTAGAGTCAATTGAATTCTATATGCATACATTTTAAATTATCATCATTACAGACAACTTGTCACTTTCTTAACTGCTAGATTTTTCTAAGTATGTTATTACAGCGGCAATGAATGAGTTCAAGAGAGTGTGTTAAATTTAGTACCTGGTTGGAAGCTGTGAGTTGGAAAAGTCAGATAAAAATAAAGGTTACTAAGAATTCTTATTCTTGACGAGAAATCTCATTGAAATCTCATGCTGTGTAACAAATCATGAGAGTTCAGACAAAATATATATCGTAGAACAAATAATTAATCTACAAAAATATTCAATATGTGAACCAACTTATTGAATTAAAAATATGCAATCAATTATTTTAAGAACAAAATTATTTTAGTAAATCTGTAATACAAAAAAAACAACTACCATGTTAGTTAATAAGATCTCCTAAGCATGTGGCAAAAAACACTATAAATCTAAGAAACAAAATGTAATCGACTGAAAAGGATACGCAGTACTTAAAAGAAGGAATGGTGCCACCAGGGATAAAACTGAATGTAATAATCGTGAGAGAATGAGTCTGGACGTCAGCGATGGTATAACCAATGACGTAAATAAAATAGTCCAACTCAAAACTTGGTTGTACCAAGGTGTTCCTTCCTTTCGAGATAAACTTGAGGATGTTGTATAAACGATCACCATGGAAACACCAATAATGAGGATCTGTATGATTAATATAAGTGTTGTCGTTCTATCTTGGGAGGGTCGGAGATACACACAGAGAACACTTGACAGAAGCATAAGAAATCCAGCCAGCATACTGGAAAACAAATACAGGTTATATTCATGAGATCAATGCTAGATGTAATAATAATTATACTGTAAACCTTAATTAACAAATTTGTTATATCAAAGTGATTATTTAAAACAATGAATAATTAACACAATGGAATAATGTTATTTAGGAGTCATACAGTTGGTTTCTTATATTCAGAGAATCTTTCTATATCAAGTTCTGTTTTGAGACACAAATTAATAAAAACAATTGACATTTAAAAAATAACAGTTATTTAGTTTATATTAAAATGATGATTTTAAATCAAATCTATAATGTAGAGTAACAAACTGAAAATAATTCTAATTTCAAAACCTAATATACTGGGTTATTTTAACAAGCTATGTATTTTTAATTCAATAGTGACCCATTTGACTATTAGGAGGGTTTTATGGCTTGCCTCAAGACACATTTATCCACCTTTTCCTTGTGTGAATACTATTGACCAACAATAAAAAAAATGCATTCCAATTAGCAATGACCTAAGGTGATTTCAATATTGCCAATTGCTTCGATCACTACAGTCTTGTTTTTACTAGACCTTGTCAAAACAACCATGTATGTGCTTCATTCTCGGAGTACGGACATATAGAGTTTCAACAGGCATATAGAAGTTGAAACCATGGTAACGTTATTGTTGTTTTTTTTCAATACCCCCAGCACATCTCCTCATGTACCAGCACTTACTATTTGCAGGGAGATTCAATTTCATGTCCACTTGCCACGATCGAGGGACAATCTAATTAAAAAAAAAATCAGGACGAGAAAAGAGGGAGAAATAATGGAGAGAGCCTGCGCAGACATCTGCACGTGTCTTACAACGTGCTGTAATTAACCTCTACTTAGAAGGTTCAGATACCCCTGGGATTAAGTCCGCAGACTCTCTGACTGCTGCCTAACAACACAGCAACTAAATTACCTTTGTCTTACCCCATTGTTTTCTCTATTGTCGCAGATAGCATCAATGAGTTTGATTGTCTGCTTTTCTCACCCCGGGGCAGTCACATATACATGAGGTATTTAATAGTGCTTGGCTACACATGTGTCGACTATTCACCATACTTTATTGTCCTGGGCCCAAAACAAGTCTTCTTTCCATTTGAGTTGAATACTATTTAATTAAAGTCACACAGTCTATGTAGTTATTGTTGTTGATACTATATCAGTGTAAAGGTGTTTTCACTAATCATGTAAAAACTTAATAATTTCTATTGATTATAAAAACTGTTTTACAGTATATTTATTCTTTTCTTTTATTAAATTGTTATAAAATAGGTCATTTAAATGTTTTAAGTTCTTAGCCAAATAGATTTTCTTTTAAAGATTGAGTATGCATTTTCCCATGACAACAATGTTTTTATTTTTTCATAATGCATCTTCCTCCTGAACGACATTAGTGATCACACTTATCTAATAACTATGCTTGCTGCAGGGACGCCTTCACACACAAACAACCACAATGAGTTACATTATTTGGAACAATAATACATTTATGGATGGTAAACTTGGTGTCAACCAGGTTGAAGCACTGGCATACCACATTAACAATGATTCACTTCATCTCATTCAACCTAACAAGTTGGAAAGTACAATTATTTACAAAATTGAATATCATTCGTAAGACTACAGCCTGAAACTATTGAGTGGACATGGAACCAT